CCCATGCGACATCGCACACAATTGTCGGGGTTTCGAAAACGAGGGCAAAACTGTGAACTTCCACAATGATGCATGAGGAGGCAGAGGTAGATGGAAATCGACGGTGACGGTTAGGGTTGCCATTTTGGTCCTTATAAAGCTGCATGGGTAGGACATGTGAGGGCTAATCATCATCTGATTGGAAACTAGCCCACTATCAGAATCAACTGTATCAATCACTACCACATTAACATAATGCATCCGTTATTTGTTCATAACTCATAATTAACCACATGGAGCAGCTAGCAAAAAAATATATGCTATCTTGGAGATGTGGAAAACGAGAGCAGCGCGGTGAGAGTAACTATAGCGGTGGTGTGTGCGTGAGGAAGAGTCAGATGCAATCTAGTGTTGATAGCTAAGATTGCCTTGCTACTCGTTGTAAAGCCACTTGGCTAAGAAGCAGGAGAGCTAACGAAGATATGATCTTTAACCGGCGCACAATCCGAATAAATAGATAAGTTGTTGTTCCATTAATGTGTTTTTTTTAGAAAAGGAGGATGACCCCCGGCCTCTGCATCTGGGAGATGCATACGGCCACTTTATTGATTATTCTCGATAACCATACAAAGTATTACAACAATGTGTCTGAATCCACCATCTTGGCAACATGTGCCGCTACTCCTATCCAATATGATGAGGGGGTGCTAGCTGGGCCACTACCCAAACCACTCACCTAAGCCTAACATCAAAAGCCGGAAGCCGAAACTCATTCGGTAACCCCAGCCGAGCCACATACTGGGTCTGGGGCGCAATCCGGTCAGACGCACTCGTGTGTCGTCGCCGCCATCTTCCACAGGTCCGTCTTCAGATCAAATTGAGGCTTCTACCTTGTCTGGCCAGTCTGCCATCGACGTCCCCATGACGCCAGACAGCTTCCTCCTCCTGCACGAGTCCATCTCCGCGCATCATATGCCGAGTCTCCACAGCACCATGCCGCCGAGATCCGCCATCATCAATGTGAAAGATGAAGCACCGCTCCACCAACGTCGCCGTCCTCTAGTCCCTCGAGCCCGTGTGCACCTCCAAGAATGACGCCCCCAGGGGGGAAGACGACACCAGAGAGCCGCCGCCATCCGATCTACTGATCTAGGGTTTCCCCCGGAGGTAGCAGAGAGTGGCCTTAAACATCTCCACGACGATGCCTTCAGGAAGGGAACGACGCAGACAGCGTCGCCATCGTCAAGGCAAGGCCACATGCCGTCGTCAAGGAAGAATGGATGTGTATGTTATTTTTTAATGCGTGGCAAAAGTAAGATGTAAACTTAGCATGGATTGAAGGCTTCACTCGCTCGTGAAACATAGCGCGAGTAAGTGAGCATGAGTTAACTGTTAAAAATACTTGGGCTTGGCCCAATATATAGTTCCAAATAAATCTCAAAAGTTCATGTATGGCAAGAGGTGGAGGTGCAATTGTTAGTCCCGCCCCACTAGTGGAGATGGAGTTTCACATCCTTATATACGGAAGTCTCTCCACTTCACTAAGTGACTAGTATGGGGAGACAAAGAGATCACCACACTCACACTGGCCTTGCCTTGACGGGCTCGGTCTAGGCCTCTAGGGTGACGGCATGTGGCATGTGCATGATCGTGACAAAAGAATGTCCGGTTCTCCTATATATATGACCTACCGGGGACTACCAAAGAGACATTGAACCATGCTAGGTTTTTCCCTCTTCTCACTTTTGTGCCGTCATCGTAATCCACTCCATCCAAGCACCTTAGTTCACCAACTCACAAGAGAGCGGGTCTCCGGAACCTCTCACTTTTGTGATCTTGCACCGAGAGAGGACGGATAAGGGTTTTGGGAAGCATTTCACACAGCTGCTCGTGTTTCTTCACCACGGATATGTATGAGACATTGTTGTTGAAACTATCTAGTATGAACAAAATAATTTCGGACCTCACCGAAATATGCGAAATTTCAGAAATTATTTCAGATTTCGAAATTTTAAATTTCACTTAATTTTAATGAATATTTTCATAATTTAAATTTTTTTGAAACCAGTTTGAATCTGCATGGAAGTTTCGGGCTTAAAAATATTTCAAAACCCACTGAATATGCGAAATTTCAAAAAATTCTCTGAAATTTCATTGATTTTTTTAACTCTGCAAGCAAGAATCTTGCACTATAAAACCGTCGAAATGCAGTTTCATTTCGTCTTGTCTTTCCCTGCAAGAACTGGCCTGTCAATAGGTATGCATAACTTTCCAGAACGGTATGTCCGATCAACCAGGAGCTTACTTGCTAAGTTTGTCTTCTTTTACAGTCCATTCATTACCATTGTACGATCGCTCGCAGCAGATGTGGGTAGGTAGTCGTGTGAAAATTCCTGCGAACGGTCTTGATCATTGATAGCGTGCAAAAGTCAAGCTGGAATATTAGAGATAAGGATTAAGACAGAGAAGAAAAGACAAAGTAACCTAGTGCTGTACACGGATGAGTTAAGTGGTTTTCCACTTCTTAGATGCTCACTGTTCAGGCCTGCTCAACGTGCATCGATCTATCTCTTCCTAATAATAAAGCACGGATTGAGTCTTCGGGTTCACCGTCACGTTCTTTTTACACAAAGGTCTCTGTGGTTTTTAGGAATTAAACTCGTTGTCCTACTTTAGTGAATCCGAAAACGTTTCCTTTTTTATATAGGCTACTAAAAAAGGAAAATGCCACGCTCGATTTCCTTGCGTTCGGTCTGTGTCACCAGCTCACGTGATCTCTAAGGCCCACCAGTGCGTTAAATTAGGCCTTGCTTCAGTCCAATACGACTCGAAGTCCTGACTCCTTCTGTTTTCTTTTCCTTTTCAAGCCCTCCACGACAGCCAGATCCAAAAGAGAGGGGAGGGGCCTGATGCATCGCAGATCGTCGTCTTCATGCCCGCCGTTGGTACTCGGCGGCATCATCGATGGCACACATCTCGATCCTCGTCGCGCACGACGCGTTTTGCCCGGAGCTTTGTCCTCCTTTAAGGCGCGGGGTCGGACCTGTTTGTGCTCACGGCATGCACAAGGACAGGAGAGATCCTGGCGTTGGTGGCCGAAGCTGCTGAAGAACGACGAAGGAGGCGGGAGGCGCACTGGAGATGGAGGCGGACGACGACGGGAACGTGACGGGGCTACTTCTCTGAAAGAAGTTGGAATCGCAGAGGCGCAGCGGCGCTACCCGCGAGCGGAGGCAGAGACGAGCGGGAGGCAGAGCACGCTCTGAACTTGAGACGGAGACTGTGCGCGCTAGACGACGGCCTTCGACGCGCTCCAGCCCGGGGCAGCTACGGTGTCAGGATCGTCCAAGGCAGACGTGAATCCTTGAGCGGGTGCCCCTCCTGGCATGGCCCTCCATGGCGCACGGACGGAGGCCTCCGGCCAACAACGATCTCAGGATCAACCATCGGCGACAGGGGCGCTCAGCGCTAACCGATGTTCCACAGTGGCAGAGGAGACGACGAAGCGCGCGAGCACGCCAGTACAACAGTCGTCCCTAAGGCGGCGCAACAGCAGTCACTCAACCCAGGAACTGCATGATGCATACAAATCGAGACAATAGTTTAAACTTGTCGGGTTAGTGTACATGCATGATTTGCCTATTATTTTATTTGTACCATCACACCTCCTGTAAATCCTTATTGTTGTTGTATGTATGTCAGCTGCACCTTCATCATCTCCGTACGGGTGATAGAGCAGGGTTTTTGTATTGGCGATGTTGCTGGTGTTGGTAAAGGCCGATTAATCTGAGAAAATTGGCAATATAACTGTATAAGGCAGTGTAAGACTTTTGGCAAAATTCCCATCAAGTCTCTGCTCTGCTGAATTTTTAAGAATTCTGCCATCATGTCTTCTTCACTACTTACCTTTAGCTGATTTGCAATTGCAATTTCCAGGTGGGTATCGGTTGATTTTGACCGGAAGTATCATGCTCGAAGAGATTTAGATGGTGTTGGTGCAAAAGCGTACAAGGTATGAAACCTATTAAAATTGAATGATATTTTAACCTCAAGCCAATGCCATCTGTATTACACCAACTGTATGAGACCCTACGGCTCCACATGATAGCATCTTCAACTGTATGCATATGGATTTAACAACACAACATTTATCTAGAAATGCTAACAGGGAGTGATCGAGTGTGAATGTTTTTCTTTAGTATGTAATAAAGATAAAATATACCGTTTCAATCTAACTCATAATAACAAAAACATGAGAAAACATAATATATTTTAGTATGGGTATGTGGATTGCAAATAGGATACTAATCTTTATCTCGAACATATAAATGATTTTAATTGTTGGCAATATCGATATGGTCGCATTATTTATTGCAATGAAATTGGATCTACTATTGTAGATTCGACTTGAGTCTCGACATATGTAGTCATGTAATTGATTTACCTCTACGTAGGTTTTTTAGGTTTTTGAGTTTCTCCTCTGTTGCCACAAAATACATAATTTTTCAGCAAATCAATGTATAGCAACCGTGTATGCTTCAATCATGTTGTTTTTGAATTTTTAGAGTATGTTACTTCTTATGTTTTTATCGTTTGGGTAAATCACAACACCAACATTAACCTTTTTTTTTACGACAGGGAGGAAGACAAGCGGCAACAGGGTGAGGTAACATGTTGAAATGGAAGACATGTGCCTATGTGTGTGCGCCCGGGGCGGGTGGATGGAGTGTTAGAGTCGTGTGATGTTTTCTTTTTGGGAGAGAACCTTGCGTCATACTTACGCGGTTAGGAGCGTGTGATGTTTTTTCTTGTTGCAATACACATACATGTTTCATATAGTTATTATGTTCTCATGAGTGGCTTGATTTAAAGACCACAGTTTTGTTACCCGTTGCAACGCACGAGTCCTTTTGCTAGTAACTATAAGATGCACATGCACGTCTATGATCAGTTCACCATAGCGCGCGCATGCACTAGTCGATCGGGCATAATATTACAAAGTGTTGGAATCCCATTAAGCAATGGAGATGACGAGCAGCACGATGGTGAAGCCGGTACCGCACCCGCTCGTCGGTGAGAAGGTCCCGCTGACCATCTTCGACCGCGCTGCCGTGGACGTCTTCGTCCCCACCATGCTCGCGTACCCTGCGGCTGCGCCGGCGAACGAGGCGCTCAAGGAATGCCTTCTCAAGGCCGTGGCGCCGTACCCGCACCTGGCGGGGCGCCTTGCCGTCGACCAGCTCGGCCGGCGCTTCCTCCACGTCAATAATGAGGGCGTGCACTAGTAGAAAAAGGGTCTTCTGTCCCGGTTGGTAAGGGCCTTTTGTCTCGATTTTTGAACCAGGACTAAAGATTCGTTACTAATGTCCTGGCCTTTAGTCCCGGTTCAAACAGAAACCGGGACAGATGGGCCTGCACGTGGCCGGTGCGCCGAAACCAGGCAGGACGGCCTTTGGTTCCGGTTCGTGGCATCAACCGGGACCAATAGGCATCCACGCGTCAGCATTTCAGGGG